GCAGACAAAAGTTTTATCATTCCTGGACAAGTCGAACTGCTCTTAGGCATTGACTTGTACGAACAGATCCTTGATGGTAGAAGGTTCAGTCTAGGTGACAACATGCCTACTGCCTACTCTTCTATCTTTGGATGGGTAATTATGGGCAAAGCTCCCGCAGCATCGTCACTCGTTCAAGATGTGATGTCGATGGCCTGTACATTTGACCTCAATCTTGCACTTACAAGGTTCTGGGAAGCAGAAGAGTTCTCCAGTCAACCTATTCAAGATCCTGAGGATGTTCTATGCGAAAAACACTTTTGCGAAACGCATTGTAGAGACGACACTGGTCGTTTTCAAGTTCGTCTTCCCTTCAAGGTGAATCACAAGCCTTTGGGGGACACACGTATCAATGCCCTGAAACGCTTCTACAATTTAGAACGTAGGCTTATCAGGGATCCGCGCTTGCGTGAACTCTATGTAGAGTTTATGCGAGACTATCTTAGTTCGGGTCATATGCGTGAAGCTTCTTGCTCTGACGCAAGTGAGCGATACTACATTCCTCATCATGGTGTTCTGCGCGAATCTAGTAGCACGACTAAGCTTCGTGCAGTTTTTGACGCTTCGGCTTCCAGCTCAACCGGTGTTTCGTTAAATCAGGTCCTAATGACAGGGCCTAAATTGCAAAGAAATATTGAAGATATTATTATGCGCTTCAGGATTCACAAGATCGTCTTCACCTGTGATATCAAACAAATGTACCGTCAGGTGCGCATGGACGATGCTGACTGCAAATATCAAACTATATTCTGGCGCGAATCTCCTGACCAACCTCTTAAGGAATACGAGCTTACCACTGTTACCTACGGTGTTTCAAGCTCTGCCTTCCAAGCAATCCGTGTCATACACGAGCTTGCTTCTCTTAATTCCAATCAACATCCAGAAGCTTCTCAAGTGTTGCTAAACGACACTTTCGTCGATGATATCGTCAGCGGGTGTGATTCCGTGGAATCTGCTAGGGAATTACAGCAGGTACTGGTCAGTATCCTATCTCAGGGCGGTTTTCTCTTGCGTAAGTGGTCGAGTAACTGTAAGGAATTCATAAGCGACTTTCCTGCTGATCATTGCGAGCAGCCCTATCTGTTTGAACACGACTGCGATAACATATTTAAAGTCTTAGGCATGGCTTGGAGTGCTTCTAATGATAGTTTTATTTATCGGGTTTCAGATATGAACAATACACTCACCATGCGAGGCATACTTTCTAATATAGCCCGACTCTATGACCCTTGCGGTTTTCTAGCACCTGTAACCTTCTATGCGAAACATGTTATGCAGAGGCTCTGGGTTCTCAAATGTGGTTGGGAGGATTCTCTACCTTCTGATATTCAAAAGGCTTGGCTATCTTTTATGTCAAATTTTCATCATCTTAACAAAATTGTTATTCCACGCTGGGTACTCACTGATCAACTAAGCGATTGTGAACTCCACGGTTTCAGTGATGCTTCCGAACGCGGGTACGCAGCTTGCGTCTACCTGCGCGTCAAAAATTCTTATGGTAAAACTTCGGCCCAACTAATGTTGGCGAAGTCTCGAGTTGCTCCTCTCAAGCAAAAGCTCACGATTCCCAAATTGGAATTGTGCGGCGCACATCTTCTCGCTCGCTTACTTGAGCATATTATCAAAACTCTAAAACATAAAATTAAAATCAGCAGCACAGTGGCCTGGTGTGATTCCAGCATTGTGCTCACATGGCTTAAATCTTCTCCTCATACTTTACAAAGGTTTGAAGGAAATCGAGTGTCCCAAATTCAAGCTCTAATACCAAGAGCTATTTGGAGATACGTTCCATCATCACTAAATCCTGCTGATGCCGCTAGTCGAGGTCTCTACCCCTCTGAACTAGCTAAAACCATCTTGTGGTGGTCTCCACCTTGGCTTGAAGGTGATTCTTCGACATGGCCTGGAGACACACCTATGTTGAGCCAAGCGAATTTACCTGGTCTGAAATTACCATCCCCTATATCACACATTGCTAAGGTTAGCGTCGATTTACCTTTCTTGCACAAATTCAGTTCCCTTCGCAAGCTACAGGCTGTTGTAGCTTGGTGTAAGCGATTTTTGCATAATTCACGCAATCCAACGAAGCGATACACGGGATCACTATCTGTTTCCGAATTGAACGATAGTTTGAATACCATTATATCAACTGTACAGTCGGAAGAATTTTCTTCAACAATTTCGTTGTTGCGTAATGGGAAACTTCTCAAAGATAGCCTTCGACGTCTTAATCCATTTCTTGACTCTCAAAATTTGCTGAGAGTAGGTGGTCGGATTGTAAACTCATCTTTATCATTTAACGCTAAACATCCACTTTTGCTTCCGAAGGCACATCACGTTACTCGCTTGCTCATTGATCATTATCACCGGGCATTCCTACACCCTGGTGTCAATACTCTTTTAAATCTACTGCAACGTAAATTTTGGATTTTATCAGCACGCCGTGCAATCCGTCGGCAAATATTTCAATGTCAACATTGCTATAGATTACGTCCCAAGGCGACTGAACCTTTCATGAGTGATTTACCTCCTTCTCGAGTCACATCTTGCAGACCCTTTCAAAGAGTTGGAGTGGATTTTGCAGGTCCTTTTCTTCTGAAAATCTCGCGACTGCGCAACGCTCGATCTGTTAAGGCATATTTATGTTTATGGATTTGTTTCACCACCAAAGCTGTCCACTTGGAACTGGTTTCCGAGCTGTCGACAGACGCCTTTTTAGCTTGCTTTGATCGCTTCGTATCGCGAAGGGGTCTTCCCACCGATGTTTACAGTGACTGTGGTACCAACTTTGTTGGAGCTAACAACTACTTGAAAGAAGTTACACAATTACTCAAAAACTCGCATGATGACATAAAACATTCATTAGCCAGTCGACAAATTGTATGGCATTTTAATCCTCCTGCCAGTCCACATATGGGCGGTTTATGGGAGAGCGCGATTAAATCTGCAAAACTTATTCTTCTTCGTGTTATAGGCGATCGCTCACTTCTCTTTGAAGAGCTCATCACTGTTTTTAGCAAAATAGAAGCCGCGTTGAATTCTCGACCGTTATATCCCCTAAGTAGCGATCCTAACGATCTAGAAGTCTTAACGCCCGGCCACTTCATCATCGGTCAGCCGCTATTGGCTTTGCCTGAGCAAGACTTGGAGCAGATAAATTTTAATACTCTCAAACGATGGCAGCTTTTGCGCCAGATTACTCAGCACTTCTGGAGGCGTTGGCAAGCTGAGTACCTACATACTCTACAGCAGCGACCTAAGTGGCTTGCCAAGATTTCAAATTTTCAAGTTGGTGATTTAGTTCTTATCAAGGATCCCAACTTGCCACCGCTTCACTGGAAGAAAGCTCGTGTGACTCGCATTTGCCCGGGTTCTGACGGCACTGTTCGCGTCGTAGAATTAAAAACTTCTACTGGCACTCTACTTAGACCAGTAGTCAAGCTTTGCCCTTTGCTGCCATCTTTCAATTAAGAAAAACAATACTTATTTTTTTTGTTTAGGTAGTAGTAATAACTTTAGTTTTTAGTAAGCAACATTTTTTTTTTACTCTTTTGTTTACGTCAACCTTTTAGCAAATTTCAAAGGGGTTCGTTTAAATGAAAGAGCTAAGCCGCTCTTTGGGGGGCGGTATGTTAGGTACACATTCTTTACTTGACATCACTATACATATCTTCCTACCGTCACATCCTAAACTCCCTCGATATTCCTTTACCTGGAGGTAGTACAAAAAAAAGCTTCAACGGCCGCGTACGGCGATGGGACGAGCTCCGCATTCTCCCCATCAAATTTAAGACTACGCGTCAAAGTTATCGTGCGAAACGCAATAAACTATCTTATTTTACAATTACAAACTTTAAGCAAATCACCCGGTGTTGTGTGAAAGTGATTGGTGTACGAAATGCGACTTAAGAACCCACGCGGGACAACGGCGAACCAGGTAGTCCATCCACCCTTTCTATCTTTACCCAACAGTTTTGTTGTAATCAGATAATTGGTAAAATAAAAATATTGATTTATTTTATAATAATATATTTTTCTTATAAACATTAAATTAGTCATAGGCACATAATCAAGTTTTCTATTACCAAAATTAAGCAAAAAAAAAACAATCAAATAAATTTAAATGCACTTGCATTATCGTAATTAAAATTTAGAAGTGACAATTCCAGCTTTATGGAAAAGACGCTCTGAAATCTGAATAACACTACTTCCTGACGCCAAACAAGAAACAAACACGTCGATATAACGCTCATCCAATAGAACAACGACGTAATTACCAAAAAGTTGAAAATGACTTTTGATTGTCATAAGTTCTTATTTCGAAAGTTCTATCTATGACAAAAACGGCATAATTATATTTACGGTAGTTTTCGATAGATGGAGTGAATGACATTAGGGAATTGACGTATTTTTCAAAAGGATACTCGGAAACATCGACATATTTGTCACTCGTGCGGGGCGCCTCGCGAAGTGAGACCGTGTCGGGAGTTAGTGCGACATAAATGTAAGTTATGACAAACTATGTCAATTTTATTGGTAGAACAATGACGCAATTGACAATTATGTCATTATGTCAATAAAACTGCATTAAATCGTTTGATTATATGACACAATTGCCAAATACGTTCCTGTTCTGACAAATAACATATATAAAGGTAGGTACATAATTATTTTCAAGTACATACTTATTTTAAATATGTATAAGTATATTATGTTATTTGATATTCTTATTGACTCGCATATTGAAAATACTGATAAATTACTTAATATTAAAGTATGATTAACGTATTATCATTAATACGTTAATTATACTTTCTTTTTGATCATACCTACATGATAAATGCTATTCTATGTATTTAATTTTTATGTCTTTTTTTGTTATCAAGAAGATTCTAAAAGTTTTGTGGTACTTTATTTATTTAATAAAAATGGTGTTGTTTTAGGCCATAAATATAAATAATATGTCTAGGCCAAAAAGAATCAAGCAGATGGTAAAGTTGGGTAAAGACGGACATGTACCTCAACCTTTTTCTCATAACATCCAGACAGAATTGACAGCAATGAATAATCCTATAAAATTGAAACGTAAGACTATTATTTTCTTCCTTTTTAATTTTCCTACAAATGACTCAGTTCTCAGAAAAGTCTGTGTTTTAGCTGAAATTGAAGGTCAAAGTGGAACTCAGAAAAGGAATCTGTCGTCAGATATGGAAGAAGAATATATCAAAACAACTGAAAAATTCTGGAAAAGAATACATTTCCCACACCGGAAAAAAATTGCAAGTAAACTAATAATACCGCCATGCGACTGTAGATTACAATGTAGGAACAAGTTTTCAGAGGATCAAAGAAAGGAGATATTTAAAAGTTATTGGAATTTGGCATCTCTTCAAAGACAGAGAAATTTTTTATGCACGTGTATAGAACTTATAAATATTTCATGTCGTCGTATAAAGAACCTAGACAAACCTAGAACACCTAATTGCTCATTTTCATTATTAAATAACGGTCAATGTTTTAAAGTATGCAAAAAATTTTTGTTAAACACTCTCGGGATTACTGAGAGAACACTAAGAACTGTAATCGAGACCAGAAATTATAATGCTGGCAATGCCCCTAAAGATAACAGAGGTAAACATGGGAATCATAAAAAAACAGATCCAGAACTTGTACAATCTGTTAAAGACCATATTAATTCAGTGCCACGGATTGAATCGCATTATTTAAGAGCTAACACGTCTAGAGAATTTATAGATGGTGGTCTAACAATTGCTGAATTACATCGTAATTACAAGACACAACGTTCTTCTCTACAAAAAGAAGCAGTAACTTACGACGTCTACGCAAAAATTTTTAAAACTGATTTTAATATATCTTTTTTTTTTATCAAAGAAAGATCAGTGCGATCTGTGTGAAGCTTTCAAAAATGCCGTAGGTGAAGACAAAGACAAGTTGCTCCTAGAATATGAGTTACATCAAAGAGAAAAACAATTAAGTCGTAATGAAAAATCCAAAGATATAGAGACCTGTAACGAAGCCAACAGTAATACCCTAGTTGCTATTTATGATTTGCAGGCAGTAATGCCAGTACCAATAGGTGAATCGTCTGCTTTCTACTACAAGTCAAAACTCAACTGCTTAAATTTTACTGTAAGTTATTATTAAAGTCTTAAATTTAATTTCATTATTTACAGTTATCTTAATTATTATAAATGGCATTATTACTTTTATATTTCAGATATCTGATTTAAAGAATAAAACAACTGATTGTTATTTTTGGCATGAGGGATTGGGCAATCGTGGTGCAATTGAAATAGGTTCATGTGTTTTTAAATTTTTAGAAAAGATTGCCCTTGAAAGTCCCAACATAAATATTATATTCTATTCTGATAATTGCTGTGGTCAGCAAAAGAATAGGTAGGTTTTAAGTGCACGGAATGAATTCTGATATCAACATTAGTCAATACTGTTATTAATCGATATTTGAATGTTTATTTTTTCAGATACTTACTAAGCATGTATGCGTATGCAGTAAGAACATTGGCAATTAATTCAATTACCCATAAGTTTTTAGTGAGAGGTCATACCCAAAATGAAGGAGACAACGTTCACTCCATTATTGAAAAGACCATTAAAAATGCCAAAAAGTCAGGCCCCATATACGTTCCCGATCAATATATTCAATTAATAAGAAACGCTAAAAGAAAAGGCAAACCTTACGTCGTCCATGAATTGAATTTTTCAGATTTTATTGATTGGAAGGATTTAACTGATCAATTATCTATCAATTTCAACAAAAATCTTAATGGAGATATCGTCAAGTTGTTGGACATTCGACTAATTAAATTTATTAAGGGATCTGATGTTTATTTATACAAGACATCATACGACGATACAGCAGAATGGATTCAATGTGGTATACACATAGGATCTAAAAGACATCCTAGACGAAATTTGCCTACCGAAATTCGCCTGCAAAACGCATATAGTGCTAAACTTTGTATTTCAGATCGTAAAAAAGCTGATTTGTCGCGTTTAATAAATACTAATATCATACCAAAATATTATGAGGCTTTTTATAATTCTATTTTGTAATAAGTTTAATTTTGAGTTAAATGTCTATTTTCTTGTTTAATTATTTTTTAAGCAATTGTGATATTATTTTATGTTCCTACTTGATTTTATGCTTTTTAAAATTATATAAATATACGCAGGTTTATAAATATAAAACTGCATTGATTATTTTGTTGTTTAAATTCATGTTTTATTCCCATTTCATAACATAGTTTATGTCATAATTGTTAAATTTCATTTACAAAATGGCATAAGTGTACGTCAGGTTTGTTATATGGTATTTTTAATAATTTTCTTGAGTTTTCTAAGGAAGTTATTATACATTTTTATTGACAGTTAGAGTAACATACATAAATATTAAAAAAAATCATTCGAATGATTTAATACACATTTTATTTTAAGCTTCAAACTTTCAAAACGTTCTCCTGAAAAATAGCTAAAACGTAATTACGTCATTGTTCTATTGGATGAGCGATAAGTTCTCCTGCCACAAATTTTATTGCAAGTCTACTTTTAATCTTAAGAATCTACAACGATTTCAAAAAAAAATCACGAACACCGATATTATCTATACCAATATTATAAAGAGGTAAAGTTTGTTAGATTGTTAGTTTGTGACGTTGTAGGGGGTAATCTCAGGATCTACTGAACCGACGTAGATGCAATTTGGTAAGAAGATAGTACGAGACCCTGGGAAGGGCATAGAATACTTTTTATTCCGGAAATCACCGCTGTATGAGGTGAAAATGGGGATGAAAGTTTGTATGGGGAAGCAAGCTAGGGACGAACCCGAGCGAAGCTAGGGTGAGTCGCTAGTTCTAAATAAACATACATATAAATTACGAGATTTATTCTAACATGATGTTTTATTAGTATTGTAACAATTTCTGTGCCAAGACGATAGTAGGTTTATTTGAAGATAGCTTGTTAACATTTCCAATTTGATTTTTAAATATAGCTGATTTTAATTAATAAAAATATCTACTAATAGGGTAGATCTTGTTATAGTCTATCTATCGCTTTTAAAATTCTTTTCAAATAATAATGTTTGAGGTATCTATAAATATCAATATAGTCCAGACAATCCAATCAATAAGCCTATAGTCCCATTCCCTGTCTGACTGTTCTTCATCTTAAACGTAATTAGTTATTTTACTATGAATATGTTATTTTGATAGTTGCGTAATAATAAAAAATGGAAAACAATAAAAAATAGAAAGGGTCCTACCCTTCATACAAGAAATGTGTTTATTCGAATCGCTACTCGAGTGCGACTACCACATGATTCATTTTGTACATAAATATACAATGTACAAATTTATTCTGTTATAATTGTATCATTAACTAAAAAAGTACCTATATTAAAAAATTGCTAATGTATTAAAAAGTGTGAAGATCCCGATTTCGGTAAGATTGTGTTAACACTTAAGAGGCACATATGGTATAAGCACAACAAATAATAAAAAATATATTTCTATTTATATTTTCGCGTTTTGAAAACATTGCATAAAAATGTTAATATAATCAATATAACAGAAGTGACAACTTGTTGATCGATGGGATGAGACAATCATAGAAGTCGTACAAATCTTCGTTTTACACACAGTAATGGACACGATAAGTCCCCGTCTTAATATGTCACGCATACGTCTTGGTCAATTTGTGTAAGAGTATGAAAACATTCTAGAAATAACAGATTTTATGATAATAATCATTTCTTTTTTCGTTATAATATTTCTTGTAAAAGATAAAAAGATCAAATTTGCATAACTGATTGTTATGCACTTATATAACAATGATGTTTATATATTTTATTTTGTATTTTCAACCGACTTCAAAAAGGAGGAGGTTCTCAATTCAACTGTATTTTTCTTTTTTTTTATGTTTATTATATTTGTGCCAATAGGCAAAACTGAACCACGATTTAATGGACTGGTTATATAATAATGTGTTCCTGACCCATTTCGGTCACGGCGGCGATTCTCACTCAGACTATCCATAGTGCAGCAGATAATGGTCACTGTGCACTAATGTTCCTTACACTCTCATACACTGGTGGAAAGACGATTTGATATTGAGAGATTAGTCGCAGGATCGACTTACATACTCTCGGAATGGATAAAATAACCACCAACTTCCCAACTCTGGACTGGTCCTGAGAGTTTCATACTTCAGAAAAACTTAATAACTGTACTTGGCACGACCCGGGATTCGAATCCAAAACTTTCAGATCTGTAGCCGTACATGCTAGCCACTAGACCACAGAGGCAGTTAGGTTCGATCGGAGATTATATAATAAATAATAATCGATGGTACTTACAGTAGAGTGTCGCCAAAAGTGAATTAAAGCGTGTATATCCGTCGCCGGCGCCAGTAGGAGGTAGTCCCGCCATTCGTCGTAGCTTATGTTCAAGCTGCCGTCCTGGTCCATCCTGGTGACAAAGATTGTATGTCTACTTTATTACCTATTTTACATGAGAAATATTTCAATAAAACTACGCAACAAATTAAAAACTTTTTTCTGCTGATGATTTGTCACCTTAAAGCCAATTAAAGTGTATAAATATAATGGTTACATCACGTCAGACTTAGTAGAGAAACGTATTTATTCATTTTTATTTAAATTTGTAAGAAGTGACATAAATTTTTATTTTACATTAGAAAGCATTTTTATTTTTTGGAATGAGTAGCTTTCTTCTTGTAGTCAGTAGTCCAAGGTTCTATTTTAGAAACTATTATTCATTCATAATCAAATGTAAACCACAATGTATTTCCAATAATTACTTTTTACAAGCACTTACATATATATGTATTGTCAATCATTCTCTTATATAATATATCGCGACAGCTATGCATTTTTCTAGTCTATTGTGATCAGTGTATAGAAATAGATCTAGCCAATAAGTATATTGTGTAAATTGACTTGTCCTTGTGCTTTTACTCAGATAGAAACCTATTATTCTAGTATATATATATTCTAGTATATTTAACTACACTCTGCTATAGGGCTACCAACCATACTGTTAAAAACTTATTTTTTTTTATTTCAATCTAAAATACTTTTAGTTTTTACTATTAAAAAAAATAACCTCGAGCCATAAAATCTGTTATAAACTAATTGGCTGTCATTGATCAGCCATTTGTCATTGGATTCTGTGGTGACCTTTAAACAATTTGAAAAAGACATTGAAAATCTTATTTCTACAGACTTAGATTTCATCCCGTATGTCACAACTCTCTGTTTGTAAAAGGAATGCAGCTAACTATCATGTCGCCTTTTGGCTGTCAGTGTGCGCGCGCATTGTAAATATTTTAGTCTCATATTTTTTTCAAAACGTGCCAAAAGAAGTATAACTTCAATAAAATACTGTTTATTTTAACTCAAATAGTTGGCAACCCTACTCTGGTAATACTTATAGAATAAAGAGTATTTAGAGTAGATAAATGGATTAAATGTACAATCCTCTGTATCTCTAAGGTAATTAGGAAATGCTAGTCAGGGTGGTTGCAAATAATTTAAAAAGAATCTTCATTTAAATCATCATTATGAAGATTGATAACTCAACTGATCATGTAAATCAGACTAAATCATTATAAGCGAATGAAAATATTAAATTATTTTAAAATTACATACTTACAATTCTACGTCAACTAACAATAAGTACTTATTAATAAAAATGTTATGTAAAAGACTAATTTAGACGTTAGTCTTGAATATTATAATGTAATCTTCAGAGTAATGTATGTATATATCTCGCACAGAAGAAAACACCAATATCCGTATTATTAATAGTATACATGTGAAAGTTTGTGAGTATGTATGGATGTTTGTTACTCTTTCACGCTAGAACGGCTGACAGGATCTGGATGAAATTTGGCAAAGAGATAGATTATAGTCTGTTATTAACACATATGCTACTTTTTTCCCGGTAAAATATACCGTTCCCACTTAATATAGACTATCCCCGGTAATTTTATTGATGATTGTTTGAGGCTCAGCGATTACCATAAAGGAAGGAAACCTTGCGTAATAATGACGCGACTCATGACTCATATTACATTTGTTGCTATGACAAATTGCTTCAAAGCTCCAATAAAAGTTGAGTAATAAATAATTTTTTTTTTGTGTTATTTCCTTCTAATAAGTATAATTTGTGGTGTAGACAATAAATATATAAATAATATAATAGAAAGCATTATGCTGTGATAATGATAGATATTTTCATTTATAACTAACGAGTATAGTATTCAGACGTGTTGTAATAAAAAAACTGAACTGCCTCGGTGGTGTAGTGGCTAGCATGTACGGCTGCACACCCGGAGGTCCTGGGTTCGAGTCCCGGGTCGGGCCAAGTTTAGTTATTGAGTCTTCCTGTATAGTAAGTCTCAGTAACAGCCCGGAGTTGGGAAGTTGGCGGTGTTTCACCCCCGTGCCTCGGAGAGCACGTAAAGCCGTCGGTCCTGCGCCTTAACTCTCACCGGTCGTGTCGAGTGGTCGTCCCACCGGAGTATGAGAGTGATGGGAATAGAGAGTGCACTTGTGTCTGCGCGTACACTTGAGCACTATAATATCTCCTGCGCAGTTGGCTAATCTCATTGAGATTGGCCGCCGTGGCCGGAATCGGCTAGGAGAACATCAATAAAAAAAAATCGAGATATCGGAAAACGAATAAGATCGTAAATGACTTTAAAAATAGACACAGATGTACAACCAATTAGTCTACATTTCAAACGTAATTTTTCCATTGTTATTACGTAACGAAATATTATAAGGCCACACTACACTGTATGGTTGCAGTATGTTAAATGAAAAAGCATAAAGGTTACAGTCATGATAATAAGTAAATTTTGGTTTCATTTTGAATAATATAATGATAAAATAGTTTCAATCGACGTCAACAAAATGTAGCAAATTTCTTCAACCAAGTGTTCGTACACAAAAATATGCCAGCTGCCATTATTTATCAGTATTTAAATATATTAATTATATTTAATGCAAACAATACAAATAAGTTTATGTACATTTTTTGCAAAAGCCAGCAGCTACATGATGCTATTGACTTACCACCAGTATTTTGGCCAACCGGCTTTTCTGAAACATTTGTCTTTTATTTAGATCACTAGTTTTTTAAATATTTTTTTGTGATATCTTCTATATTTTAATATCTTTATAAACTATTCATTGTCTATACAAAAAAGAAAATTTGGATGGTAGACCTTAAGCAGAGAATCAATTAATTAAAAAAAAATTGACCCACTTGGCAAAGAAATCGTATAATAAATATACACAAAAAAGAAACCTACAAATGAATTGAGTATTATGACCCCTCTTTTGAAGTTAGTCAATAATTCTAGAAATAAATTCTAAGATAGAAATGGGATTTTTTACTTTTAATGATATAAATAAGATACATGTGTAATAAATATTTCCGCGGTTGATTTAAATAGTTATTAGAAAATATAAGCAAGCAAATTCATAAATAAATCAGATAACTATATCGCTGTGCTAATTTTGAATTTAAACATTTCACTCACCTTTTAAGCAAATTCGTCGCTTCATTTCTACCAACTGCAATTCCTAAATCAGCAAATGCTGAAATAAGTTCTTCTAAGTCAACTTTTCCTGAAAACAATAATTATAAAATTATACAGTATAAAAGAGTTTACTTCATTTATTGAATATTTATTTTATGCCCCTAATGTTAATTATAAATTTTAACATTCAATAGGCTTTATATAATGATTATTTTAAAAAGTACCAATATTAGCATGTTTATTTTGTTTTTTGATAAAATATTGAACAATGTCAATGAAATTTTACTAACCATCCCTATTTTTATCAAGATGGGAGAACTGCAACCTAAGATTCTTCTCATGCTCCCGGACATAATGAATAAATTCTGATAATGTAACATCACCAGCATCCTTGCCAGTTTTTGCCAGAAATTTCTGAAATATTAAGTTTTAGGTGTTATGCAAGGATTATATTCATTATATTAAATAATGCATATTCATTCATGTTCTGGCTTTTATACATTGGATCATCATCTTTGCAACTTAACTTTAGCACTGATATAGAGATCAATAAATAAATAAGAAATCTTGACACATTTTATCTTATTAAGTCAAGAACTTACATAGTGACAAGAAGCAGTAGTTGAATATTAGATTTATAAAACAAAGGCTTCATACATTTAATTACACTCTACAAACATCAGATTTATTTAATCAGATTTTTTAGAATATTGAATATATTCCAGTGCTATAAAAGTCCAGTAGTATTAGAATGTATAATGTCTTAATTATGTTGCGAGATGTCCGATTTACAGTGAACTAAATATTTGAATTCTGAATGTTGTAATCTTTTATTAAAAATAAAATGAACTCTCTAGTTTTCTTTTTAATATATAATTATACAAATTATTTTCAAATTATTACAATTTATTTAACTATAGCACATCACTGCTTCTTGAAGACTGTCTATGCCTTCTTAGGCATATTGCAAAATTATACTTTGAATAAAAAGACATTTATAATAAATAAAATAGGGGTCAGTGAATATACTTTAATGTAGCAGGTATTGTATTTTTATGAAATTTAGAAATACAATTCTTTTTGATAAAAACTTTCAAAAATAATTTACATTATCTTTTAAAAAAAAGTATTATAATATAATGCTAAGTCTGAATTTCTACATAAATTGTATCTTTTTTTTATTATGACTGCTTATTTAAAAAAAAATACATTTTATGTCGAAATTCTGACTTAGATTAAAGATAAAATAATTGATATATTTCAATTTCTTTATCATTAATTATGTAATTTTAAAATATAACAACAATACAAAAGCATACATTTTTTTTTGCAAATTTTAATGTCGCTAATAATTTAACGGCCACTATTACATTATTTAAATATTAAATGACACGAGGGCTAGATAAATAGGTATGTCAGGAAAACTGTACATGATTTAAAATAGAGCACGGTCACGTGATGACAAGAAATAAAAGAAAGCTAAGCAAAAGAATATCACCGTTATATTAATAAATTAAAAAAATTAAATTCTAACCTCTGCATAGCTGCGATTAATGTGCGGGGCCAACTCCTTGAGAGCAACAGACAAATCGTGAATATCAATTTTGCCATTTCCATCCGTGTCTAATTTAGAAAATAATTTTTCTAGCCTTTCTTCGTCTTCTTTTGGTAATTCTTCTATTTCCAACGGCGGATGACACTGCACCATGGTGTCTATTGTCGTAAGTACTACTTATTACAGAACAAGGTGAAAAATCTTTGTAAGATCTTGTATTAGCATACATTCCTTTAGCCTAAATAGAATATACGACCAAATTCATTTTTGCGGAATCCGTCTTGACTCTCATTCGAAAGTAATTTTGACAGGTACCTTCTAGCTTCCTACTTGCGTACTAATGGTAACGGTGTAGTGTGGGTTAGCGGTTAGCCTGACATAAAAAACCCACATAACTACAATGTACAGCACTGCGGCCTGCGCTAATTTTCTAGGCCATGAGAAAGACAGCGGCATCTACACTGCGAACTTTGAATAGTAGGTAATTTTGTCTATTGATTTTTCAACGACAAAGACCATAAACTTAGGAAACGCTTGGAAAAATAAGGACGAGGGAATTAAATAAGAAATCATAGTTCTTGCAATTTTATAAGATAAATATTATTGCAAATAGTGATAACTTTAGTAACTTTATTCACATTAATATTTATCGTAGCATTTCTATAAAGTTTGTGATATTTAACATTCTGTCCAAAGATAGAATTTACTGTTGAGAAAATATGATTGTACTATACATTTCATGTGACATTTTACAGATGGCGCTGTGTTCATCACAAAAGAAACTCAAATATTAATGGGGAAAATTTCATGAAAGGAGGGCGCTACACGTATGATCTATTTACATTCAGTCTGAGGTTAAGCAATTTATTATATCTCTTTTGTACCTGGTTTTTTGCTTCTATTGTGTTCGCATCGTAACTGTGTAATGTACTGCACCTGGAAGTAAGACCAGCTGGAAGAATTGAGAAGAAGAAGTGCATCCTGCAGTGGACCTGACGGATTGATGGATCAACACACATAATAAACTACCTAAACCGCTGGTCATCGAAACGTGAAATTTATTGGATGTATTCCATGATGTAGGCATTCGAAATGAAAGGATTTTTCAAAATTTATCCCCTAAGTGGGTGAAGGGGGATTAAAGATTGTATAAAACTCTGACATCTTTAATATGAAATACACAAAAACTTGGTATTAATGCTCTTCAATACAATTAAATTTCAAAACAATTCAAAAAAATTCAAAACGCCCAGATGTCGCGATCACTTTAATCGTCAGCATATTGTAAAGCTTTATATGGATCGTGCCTGAACTACAGAGGGCAGCATTTCTGTCGAAAGTAGAGCGCCCTGGTGTTAAATAAGAAAAACATAGTGATGTAAATAATATAATAAAGAATTTTAGTTATGTCTAAATAATGCAAAAAATATTAAAATTTGGTTTTTTACCGATAAAGAATGATCGGATTAGAGGTCAAAACGATAAGAAAGGCTAAAAATTATTTGAATCAGGTCATGTTTTAAATGTAATTAAAATAAGCTATCAGTCATAACCTGCACAGTTGTCGTGAGCGACCAGTGTTTCTAATGTAGTGTGACATTTATTTTAAGTATTAAAAATTATTTTAATAAATTACTTGTATAATATTGAAAATAGTAAAAAACTGATAATATTTAAGCTTCTTGATAAGTATTTTAAGCTTTGACAGAATAAAAAAATAAAAAAATAAATTCTGTACGGCATATTTGAGAAGCCACGAATACAGCAAGATACTTTTGATGAAGACACCATAAAAGCTTATTTTAATTAACAAAAAATAATTAAAAACGCTGATAATGCTAAACTAATACTGTTTACCATTACTTTGTTTTTGTTTTTTCTCAGAAGATGGCATAGTCGTCATCTTCCTCACACCTATAGCGTGGATTGAACACAAGGCCCAGAGTAAATTTTTGTACATATATCAAGTTATAGTGATGTTCAAATTCAGAATATAAACAATAAATAAATATAATCTTGTAGGATAAGACCAATGCTCAGATTTATGTTGTTTGTATAATCTAAACTTAATATTATAAAGAGGAAACGTTTCTGAATTTGTGACGTTTTAGGAGGTAATCTCTAGATCTATTGAACCGATTTAGATGAAATTTGGTAAGAAGATAGTTTGAGACCCTGGGAAAGACATAGGCTACCTTTTATCCCGGAAATCATCCCTTAAGGGGTTGAAAATGGGGATGAAAGTTTGTATGGGGAAGCAAAGTAGAGACGAACCCGAGGGAAGCGAGGGTGAGTCGCTAGTGTTTTAATATAATAATACGATATAAATAAGAATATGTTTTAATAAAATTATTTTAATAACTAGACATGGTCATCAAATACAGCTGTTAAAAATTTAAAAAACCTGACTGATAAAAGTGAACTAAAAAGATGAGAACAAGATGATTAAGAAACAGTATTTTAACAGTCTGAGACATGCACAGTGTACAGTACACGTGTCACGTAGCAAGACTCGCAGCAGATACATTACATACGTTATGTCTCCGACTGCATAATACTACGTTTCTTATTCAAGTTGTTTTCATCGTTTTAGTTCGTTTTTTTATGATTTTTTTTAAATCTTTTTTTAATTCTCTTATCCTAAATTGTTTTTAAACATATAAGTGTGTGTATATTTTCGTAATCGATTGATTCGGTCGAAAGATATTTTTTCATTATATACTTATGGAATTACATTTCATCAAATATAGGTAAGTACCTGTAAAAAAATGAGTTAATTTCTGAAACATTTGGATGAAACAAATGTTAACGAATAAAGAGTAAGTACAGGGAAAAACTACAACAACAGGGAAAAGCCTTTGGTTTTTCCCCTGTACGGTTGTACCTATTCTTCCGTAGCTACATAAATAAAATACTTCGACAGGAATAATAAGCATCGTCCGTATTGCCGTTTGTATAGAAGTAAATATTGTTTTCCACTTTCCTAGCGCGGTGCAGGGATGGCATCGCCAGTGTTAAAGGCAAAAGAAAGAAAGCTAGCGATCCATTCAATCAATACATATGTCGATTTCGTAAGAACTTTCATTTCATTGACTGCCTGTGTAGAAAACAGAACTGGGAATGAAAAATTCAATAACCTGCAAAGAGAAGGATGTAAAATGATTCATCCACGTAAAACTATTTTCTGCTACCAATATTTAATTATATAAAAGAAAAGGTATCTAGAAATCGGCATTCAAAACTGTGGAACAGTCACACTTGAGAAATTTAATTCCTTTTACTTTATACCCACGATAAGCTACTTAAGTTTATCAATAAATTAGTTCTAGAATAAATAAATTCCCCTTTCAAACTCCCATTCCAACCTTTAACTTTTTAAATGATGTTTCAAATATAATGAAAAAATAACATAAATTATTATTAGAGCATAGTCAACGATATCTGGCACAGATATAATAGACTGTCACCCTATTATATTTCATTAAAATCACTTAATATCTGGACCATATTTCGTTAAGTAGATCTTTTGTATATTATAATTATTGCTATCCTTCTCTTTTACTTTACATTCTATTACTCATGAAAAGGATGGAGAACTTATTTGTCAAAAATCAAAGGTAACTTTCATCGGGCTTCAACCAATAAATCCGCAGGGATGGCATTGCTATTATCATTGCTATTATGTCAAAATGACAATACACAAATTGACTGACGTGACCGAAAGACTAAACTTTAAAAGTTAATGCGGGTAGTCGCTAGGTCTTCATTCTCACTGGGAAGTCAATCCTATTTCTATATGGATAGAGCAAGAACTTCTAAAATTGTACGTTACTATAATGCTATACGATATTAGACTCTAGTACATCAACTTAATGTAGTATATTATATTAGCATTTGTAATGCTTTGTTATTAAAACAGGCTGTGCGAAAAAAATTGAATGGGAGTGAACAAAAGCTCATAAAAGTTGGAGATTAATCGGGGATTTAGACACAATATAAACGAAGCGCACACATGTCACGACTCACGGCAGGATTGACGTACGTCACGGGTTTGTTTGTCGATGACGTTGGTTCCGAGGAATTATAATCTTCGTATGATTAAGTAAAATGTTAAAAAATATTATCTAATATCTTAAATATGTGTTATGAATTTATTTCAATAAAAAACTATAGAACAAGTAAAAATATAAATTAGTAATATGATTTAGTTTAGACATTTTCCTTCAATAAAACCTAGATTTTAGTTATTATTTTTAAACAGACAATATATTATAACCCTATGCCTTTTATTCAATAGGATTGAAGATATTCAACTTATTAACTTATGGACCGAAAGCCTAAGGACTTATTCAAACATTCATATTTTTATTATTATCTTGTTAGTGTCAAATAGTGATTAAAATAACAGTTTTTTTTTCTTAGTCACAGACGCTCTATCTACGCATACACAGAGTGTCATTTGGTTTATCTATATAAATAATCTGAATCTCGGAAACGGCTTTAACAATTTTCATGAAATTTAGTATACAGGAGCTTCCGGGGGCGATAAATCGATCTAGACTAGTTTTATGTCTGGGAAAACGCGTGTTTTCAAGTTTTCATGCGGTTTTGTTTCGCATTATTCCACGCAAAATATGGTCGCTAATTCGTGGCATCGTGGTCAAGCGGTCAAGGCGCAAGTTTGACAACCACAGGTGTCTGGGTTCGTATCCTGGTCGGATACAAAGTTTTTACTTTTGTTTTTTTTTGTGTTTATTCAATTTTTTAATTTGTTTTTTTTTAATATTTTTTCGGCCAAAAACTCCGAGCAAAGCTCGGTCGCCCAGGTACTAATAATAAATAAACAATGATGAGCTTGATTTTCATATATGTATTATGTCGCAGGTTTATTTCAACAGCAGATGTTTCTTTGCAACACATTTGTCTACCCTAGTTTATTTCAGCAATATTATATATATATATGAAATAATAATTATTAGTTTATGATCTTCATTATTAGCCCGTTTTCATTGATTGCTGGATATACGAGTAGGCCTCTCCTAGTGCACTCTACTACTAACGACATTCTGGCTTGGCTCGGGGGTGTCCCTAGGTTTATTGTTGATTTTTTAAAAACCGCTCGACCGATTTCGATAAAATTTATATGGGACCACCTGGAAAGTATACCCTTTGAAACAAAAAAAAATTTCCAAATCGGTTCAGCCGGCTTCAAGTAATCGGTGAACCTCCTTTTTGGAAGTCGGCTAATTAAACTTCATTGTTACGTACATTAAGTACTTATACGCAGGGCTCGGACACCCGTTCAATTTTTAAACCGGTTTTGGTTATTGACCTCAAACCGAAAGGCTTTTCGGTTTAAAGTTTCGCCTACGTTTTATAACCGGTTAAATCTGGGAGAGCGGTTTTTGGCGAAAATTATATGCGTTTACATTTGGTGTGTCTTTGTTAATGGTGAATTGGCTTAGTAAAAGGATACATGTACGTTTCTTATTTATCAATGAATTAACCGGCTTATTCCGGTATCAAAACCAAAACCCAACCTTACTCTAATAATAACCGTTAACCATTACAATTATTTCGGCTTACTAAATCGTTCGTTTTCATTAAGCGATTAAGGAACGAGCGATGAAATACCCATTACATTAGCGAAATAAACCTATACGTATATACCTCGTGCATACTCCTACAGTTTCTTTCCCAATAAGACAAGGAAGGTTTACTTACGATAATATTTTTTTAGTACGTAACTACTCTTTAAACTTCTACTTATACACGCAGTTACAGTTTTAGAATGTCTTTTGTTGCAAATACAAAATAAAACTTTAAAACTTTTTAAAAAATAAATAAAACCAGTATGTTATTTATAGGCAACATTTATTTTTATTTGGTATGTTTATTATTATACGAAGTACTTTACCGTTACAGTCTTACACGTTTACAGTCTTACACGTTTGTGAAAATATTTCAAGGCACAAGGACTATCGACAAGTAATTATTATTATTTTTCTGTAAGTCGGTACTTAATTGTTAGACGAACTTAAAAATATATATACAGCAAGTCCACAAATCTATATTAATATTTTCTATGAAAAATAATTAAATGATCTTTACGCCAGGTTGAATTTTCTATTTTAAGAATGCTATATCACTTTGCGACTGCAAATAAATAGCTTTAAGTGCAAATCTGGCCTAACTCTTTAAATCACTCTTTAGAAAATAATTACAATTTTTTTACGTACATTAAATATATATATATATACACATGTAAAAATATTGCTATTGTTTATATAAACGTAAAAATATAGGTCAATTAGTATACAGGTATATATATCTATATACAGGTGTATATATATATAGATGTGTCTTTAACTTTTTATTTACTACAAATATTAAAAAAATAATTAAGCCTTCTGTAATTATAAACTAGTTGGTTTATTAGAAGAGCTTGTTAGGCCATTTTTGTTATAAGATACTGATAGAAACTTATATTATAGGTATCTATGTGAACAGTAGGTAATGGTAACCTACTGTTCACATAGATACCTATACTGCCTAGTGTCATTTTTGTGATAAGTGCTAGTACCTAATGGTATTAAAAAATCAGGTAACTCGACAGCTGAACCCGCGAAATATAATTATGTTGTATGAAGTTACATAAAATTTCGTAGAGAACAGCACTTTACATTTACCTTTAAAAATGCATAAATGTATGTTATATATTTTAATATACATCGTTTTAATAATTTTCGTAATAAATAACGAATAGCTTCATAGGAAAAATGACCGCTATGAACCCCATGCCACATTAACAATATATTACTTAGCACCTGTGCCTAATCATTGTCAATTTCATAAAGGCGCTACATTTTATGCTTACCTAAAACAATTTCTAATTAATTTATCGCATCCAACGCCTTATCGTTTCTTTTTTGACTAGATCTTCAATAGGCAATTTAATCTAATAAAATTAGTGTAGGCAGCCTACAGTAGGCTAGTTGCGGCTATGATTTTTATCACATTTCAATTAAGTCAGAACAATATTATGTTCAAGTTTTATATTCCGTCATCGCTGATTAACTCTTACGAAATGTCTTTACCACTTCGGTACATATCACTAATGATCCTTTCAATGGGGATATCACCAATAGTGGCGCGAAAAAATAGCTCTACAATAGTAGCACTGGAAACTCTTCTCACTATAGACAGAACTTGAAGTAACTGACTTGAGCGCGTAACGTCGAGGGGATATATGCGTGTTGTATACTGTAACAATATAAATAACATTAATTCAATAAAGTTTATTTTATATCAGAAATAATATGTTTTGTTAATCTATATATATAAAAAAGAACCTCTATTTCTCCTGGTCACGCTATAACTGGAGAACGGCTTTACCGATTTCATTCATCTTTTTTTAAATGTTTTAGTACTTCGTAGAAGTCTTACATTAAAAAAAATAAGAAAATGGCGCAGAAACTTAGAAAATGGGGATAAAAGTTTGTATTGGGAAGAAAGCCAGCCGCCAGCGACGAACCCGAGCGAAGCGAGGGTGATTCGCTAGTATTATATAATTTTAAAAAGTATACCGTAAAATATAACATCACTTTACCTCATTGAGTACAACTTGAGAATGGTCTTGTAAAGCAGCTACTGCAGGAAGATCCTGAAGCTTTTTCATTTCCACATTTGTTTGAGATGGACTTCCTATTAATTTGTCCCCAAAACTGGTTTTAAATAAAACTATAGCCCGTAGGCAAGCATATTCATTACTATCTGGACGTTTTTTAACGAATTCCTCTAATGCTGTTTGAAATTCGTCTATCTCTTTAGGGTCTATTTTTAAATTTTTTGAATTCAGAAGAATTTTTAAGTCAAGAGGATATAAAAATTGAGCTGACCCAATTATAAAAAGATCTCGCCATGATTCTTCTAATAATAAAATTCTATCGGAGAGTGACAGTGATGCGAAGGCGGGAACATTCTTTGCCCATTTGACATTCATAAACAATAACCTAGCAGCTGCTTCGCACATCGCTTCTGGGTCAGATGGACTAAGAAGTGGAGAAGCAATAGAAGGTGGGCATGGTGCTTTCATATGGCACGATGTCAAGGGAGACGTCAAGAAGCTGAGTCTATTATATGGATGGTACGTATGAAAAAGCGGAACAGGAGGTGGGGGTGGCAGTAATGTGTGTTTAGGAAGGGCTAAATCTAGGACCGGAGGCACTGGTAAGCTAATATCAGTGGCTGGAATCGTAGAATCTTTCATAAATAAGGCCATTTGTCTTCGTATCGTGGAATTTCTTGGCCCCCTTTCATGTTGCACAGCTGAAAAGATATTTTACATTAGCAATACAGTATTATAATAGTATATTAATATTAGAGCATTATTATATTATATTTTAAGAATTAACTCACCGTCCTTGTTCATACCGGCATCTAGACATTTAGATAAGCGACAAGCGCGGCATTGATTTCGATGTGCCTTATCAACCAAACAAGCACCAGGGTTCCTTGCTTTGCAGGCGTAGCGTCGGTCTCGCCGCACAGACCGTTTGAAAAATCCTGCGCAGCCGTCGCATGCGAACACTCCGTAATGTTTCCCCGATGAGTGATCACGGCACACAGCACAAGGAACGTCGTACAAAATACGACCTGGTAATTATTTGTAACGTGTTAATATGGACACAAAATATGTAATAAATACCTATATAGTAAAAAATTAACCCAGACTCTATAATACAGGAACTAAGTGAAACCTATTCACTCTCTCTTTTTTGCCAGTTAGAATGGCGGAGAAAAGTCAATTTATTAGTGTAATTCCTTATCTTAGCTTACCTACATTATGACAACCGCTGCTACCTCCTTCGCAGAACTTATTTGTCGCTTCTATCATAAATTTATTATTAGTGTTGACGCATTTTTAAAGATGTGACATTTTACTATTATATAGATAGGATAGGGTCGGGTCTAAGACTCCGCCCTATAAAGCAGGGGGAACTCCACCCGGCAATTTATGTTTTGGGTCACACATTCGACGTATATTTTTTATTGAATTGAAATTTTTAGAGATTTTAATATATATGCAATTATTATTGTATTTATATTAAAATAATTATTTGAGAAACTAATCAATGTGTAATTTGTGAATATACCTCCTCTAATTTAATTAAAAATGAATAAGATAAAGCTTAAAAGTTGTTTTTTTGTAACTTCAATTACCGTATCACATTCTTTTTCTTCTATACATATAATAAAATTGTAACTAAGCCGAATCTTTACATTAAATATTTTTTTCAAAATCTAATTGAAATGGACATTATTATCGATCCAGAAGCTGGTTCAATAGTTTTTAGAATTTATGCCTGTCAGTCTGTCTGTTTGTCTGTGCATGACGGAAAAACCACTTGAGGAATTTTGACGAAATTTGGTATGGTGATAGCTGCTTATCTGGGTCAACATATAGGATACTTTTTACTGCGGAAAAATATCACATCTCTGAGAAATCTATACTAAACGTTGAAACATAGCGGGTGAGTCGCTAGTAAGATTTATAAAATTAAACCTCATGAAGATAACACAGATACTTCGTAATAATATAATTCGCAAACCGAAATAGGGAAGAAGGGAAGTCGTAATAATAAAATTCAGTGTTAAACAACTCTATTAAGAAATACTATATTATAAATTCGTACATTTTAATCTGCTTTGTTCGTCTATTCTCAATACGATCCCACGGCACAACAAACCGTTTAGCGAGAGCAGATAATATGGCTATATTAATACACCTCCAAACATGGCCATAGTCAAAAAGGCACAAAGGCACTTCTATACAATAAGACATTCCGAATAAATCGGTGCACATGAATGCGTACACTTGCGAGGCAGGAAACGCGGTGTCGAATGTAAGATGGTAAAAAAAGAATCACGAAACTCTTCACTATAGACAATGGAAAGCACAAAAGCCAAGAACTGAAGAAGTAGGGCCTGGGAACAATTTATCGCTTAATAAAAAGATTATTAAAGACAGTTTATGGATAATGACATACATATCCTAAAATCTACCAATCTGTAGGAATATACCATAACTATAATTCGCTACTTAAGGACTAGGTGGATGGATCCCTTCTAAATATTTTTAAATTAATTATTTTTTATAAGTATTAAAGTTATTCGTATTCGCAAAAGTGTTAATTATTACATGAAAACGAAAATAAACTAAATAGGTAGGTACATTATTTACTACTAGCGGCTTACCCTCGCTTCGCTCGGGTTCACCTCTAGTTCACCTCTCTCACAAAAAAAATACCTAAACCACGGGAACTGTACATTTTTCAGGGATAAAAAGCCCATGTGTTATTCTAGACTATAATCTATCTCTTTACCAAATTTCATCCAGACCAAGTACCACTAAGATATAGTTTAGTAACATATTAACAACTAAGATATGACAGAAACATATTAACAATTAAGAGTAACAAACTTATGGATGTTTAGTAGTTAAGTATGTATGGACATACTAACAAACTTTCACATTTATAATATTTATACGGAAATAATACGGATTAAATACAGTATAACAGTATGTATCTAATATGTATTTCATATAGTTTCAATAACTTGGAGAAGTATCATAATTTTCCATTTTCAGGAAATGTCCTACCATTAGAAAGTGTCATTTCGTTATTACAGATGTGGTTAAGTGTTTATCAAATCTCATTTTCAAAATATTGTTTGATGATCACTATCGGGGCGCCGCGCCGTGAGAGCGATCACCTGCAGCGGAGCATCGCGTGACATCTACATACATACGCAGTACGCACTCATGCAGGGTTAGTTCGAAAACGACTATTAATTGTCAGTGATAGGAAGCGGGATGCTCTTCGGAAGTTATTAGTGCAATATACATTTTGATGTTTCCCACGCGAATATTACTTGACATGTCCAATTACTAAGCTCATCGCAAATATGAAACGAGTTAGAAATTATAAAAATAACCTGGTCATTAATATAAGTCAATTAAAAAATAAGCAAGTGTTTGTCTGCGGTTGTACTCGCGTGTTGTATTGTATAACATGATCTACGTTACTCAATAATGGTGGAAGACATTCAAATAAACGAGATCGACCTCTTTATAATAGTGTATGATTATATATCTGCAAAGTTTTATACATGAACTAGTAATTTCTAAACTGAATAATAATTTGATTGTAATATATCAAAAACATTTGTTATTGGATAAAATTTAGCACATTTATAATAATAAATGTAACTCAAGACGCAGCCATGTCGATCAACACACTTATGCTCATGATTATTTATTGTGACTGGATATTAAGATTTTAATTAATTTACGTTTCCTTTATTACTTACCTATTTGAATTTATAATAAATGAATTATAGGTATCAAACTATCGAAATTGGGTTCATCAGGGAAAAGAGCTAATATCGTTATCAGGCTAATTTACAGAGGGTCCGGGGTGAGAGTACAGACAGATGTGCTGACGCTCGTGGGAATACCAAATTAACTGTGACATATCATCTCGTTAAAACATGCCATTCCATCGTATCGATTCGTACTTATTAAACCATCATTTATGTATGTATGTAGGTAAACTAAAATATATTATACTCACTAGAAGAGGCTGGCAGGGATTGCATCTCCATTTTATTTTTTAGATTATCATTATCTGAAACAAAAGTATATTTTTAATAAAATATATCATCCAGTTTACGGGCGGGTTAGTTTTTAATAAAGAATTTCTATTTCTACCTTAGGTTAGCTTACGTTATTATATTGCGCTATGATAATATCTACAATATACATATTTTGTAAATAATATCTACATACATTTTTTTAGGTATATCTTTAATTAAATATAATTACATCAAGTGCAATACATAAAAACTATATATTCAGAAAGTTTTCGTGTTCAAATTAAAAAAAAAAATATTAATATCCATAATAATATTTTTCACACGCTTTGTTCCATGCGAAATTAATCTTCAAGTGGAGCGCCATCCCTTGCGGTTTTTAAGAGCTCTCAAAAATCATATACAAAGTATAAAGAAGAAGAAAAGAAAACGGAATAATCGCAACAAATGTACGAAAATAATGAACTATTGTTCCTGCGAGCAAACTGACATCTTTTTGGCATAAAGCTGAGTGCTACTTGTAATTTTGTTCATGATTATTATATTGTTCTAGTGGCTACTCGTTAAACTAAACGGCTTTTACCCCGAGTACTATAGAGTGGTTAACACTAAATTCTTTTAAGCACTTGCAGTTTCACCAGCGCGGCGTAGTAGTATCAAGTATGTATGAATTTGTGGGAATATATTCAATAAAAGTTTAATAAATAGGTCACTTTGTTATAAAATTGACGAATAAATTATGAAAAATTCTCAAATTATGAAAAAAAAACCTTCTGAGCGATAAAAAAGGGTATTTATGAATGGCGGAATATTGGTTGATATTTTATTGAACTGGTTCATCAATCTCAAAAATTATTTTACGAACCTGAAATATTTTATATATTACCAAAATTATCAAAAAAAAATTGCATCAATGGAACATCTATCGCAATCTGCAGTAGCTGTGGATTTCGCACTCCATTGTTTGTTTGTCGGACACTATGAAGTAAAAGTTGTTTTTTTCGTAATTACAGTTTCGCAAAACAGGTAATTATGTTGGGATAATCCCGATAAGTAGAAAGGCACAATAGCATGGATGAGCCGTCCGGGACGGCGGGTCGAGCGGGCCCGGTGTGCATCGGAGGGTTATTATATTAACAAAAGCATCCTAAATAATAACATCGGAAAGTCGGTAGCTTCTTGCTTTTAAAATTGCGATGCAAAAAATCGTTCTAAGCAATATGTTTCTTAACAATTACGATTGTCCTCAAATAGTTTTTTTACCTCTTATGTATATTTATTTCTTATTTGGGAATATAAAATATTATAGTATACTAATATCGTATATTAAATTTAAAGGAACACATTATTATGTCATAATATTTACTATTTTTTTAAATGCAATATTTTCACAACAATTACCTATTTTGAAATAATAAATATAAAATAAAAGCTATTTTTTTTCTCAATCATTGCATTGTAAACTAGCAGACAAAGATATATTCAGTTAGAAATAGCTGAATTTTTAACTTATATTAAAAGGTAAAAATTCAATTTAAATAAATGAGAAAATATATATCGTTACATAATAATATAAATACCTCAACTCATGATTATCTATTCTAATAATAATCATCATTTTGAGGGTATAATACAGATTATAAAACAAATGATACAGTTGACTTACAAATCACAAAATTCACTACTAAAGCTTATATGTCAATATATAGTGCACCTAGAAAGGAAAACAACGTGGAATTAACTATCACCAGCCGTGTCCGGAAAACATTAATGGTGAAACTTTAACGAGTTAACAAGTGAGTGAAAATTAATTTAGTAGGTATTAACACAATACACGGTTATCGTTTTCAATTGTAAATTAATTTAACGCCAGCAATCATGGAAAAAATTGTTTCTAAATATATATTATAGCTTTTTTAGTGTGTAATGATACCTATATAATACTCGTATTAACGGATCCTTCATAAGCCATGTAGCGTACCTATATAACTTTTTCGTTGCTCCATTACATGGTTATTTACCATTCAATGTTTGCATTGAATAAGAAAAACAAAACATTTACAAATTACGTTAACATAAAAACAAAAATCGATTGAATGTAATAACATTTAAATAATTATGGGTATATTTTTATACATAGATTTTCATAGGAATGTTAAGAAATTATGTTAGATTTTTCCGACTTCTCCTGTCATTTAGACCAAAATTCGAAATTCAGTTACATACGTCCGTAAGTATAGT